CAAACAAATTAACCATTGCAGTTCGTGCTAATATAGTTGCACTCATTCAGATTAAATTTGCAGCACATTTTCAACAAAGTATTGCGGTTTGGTCATTTGGCAAGAATAAGATAATGGACGGAGAAAGCCGATTATTGAGTGGTACCAATGCAATTTTTAAAGAATGCAGAGAAAACCTTCTGTGCAATGCAAAGATGTATGTGGACGGCTGCACGAACGAGAAAATGCACGTGAGTAAGCAGCTGCATAAGCAAGAAAAGTTCAAACGGAGAAGGAGTGAGAATTCGCCAGCTGCATTTATGACAAGAAAAAACGCGAGCATGAAACAATGAACAGATCAAAATATTAAAGTATAATCACTGCGTGGATATCTGAAGAACTGCTGCAACACAAGCAGTGTTAGGATCTTCCCCTTCAGTCTTTTGCTAGCGATAAGCCTCAACAATAAAAGGAGGGGCAAGGAAAAGGGCTTTTTTAATCCCAACGAGATGGGTCATATTTTTCAACATTCGATTTTTATCTGTAAAACACTAATCTCTGCAAAACATTAATTCATACTTCACGTCCGTCTCTGTCTCACAAATGAGCACTTGCATTTTTTGATGCGAGAATTATTGCCCCAGTTACCAGAAAAACTAGGAAGCTGAAATTCGAAAGTATGCTCCTTGTACACGTATGAATTCCGCTCCAGCTCACCCCTAGCTCTCATGTACGAGTATATGAAAGCCTTAGTGTCAAAATTTATAATTTGGGAATTGCAAATATTTCTGTACATATCAAACAATAAAGCAGCGAACACTTTCAACAGCTAGGTCTCTTCGACAGGGTTACACAGGGTTACGACAGGGTTACACAGGTCTCTTCGACAGGGTTACACAGGTTCCCGCCGGACAAGGTTGCACAAGCCTCCGTTGAACACAGTTGCGCAAACGCGTAACCCCACCAGCTGCACCAGTGTACACCACTACTTATATCTTCTTTTCGAAAGTTTATTCGGTGTAATGATAGTAAAATGAATTTTCACCAGGATAAGGTTCATTGCCATCGGTGAATATCTCAAACAGTAATACACCAAATGCCCAAACATCGCTTTTGGTAGTGAAATGCCTCATTTTGATGGCCTCCGGTGCCAGCCATTTCGTTGGTAGTTGAATCTCTTTTTCGTTTTCCAACTGTTCACTCTTAATTGATAATCCAAAATCGCATATTTTCAGCTAAACGAGTATCACTCTGTTTATCATTTATTTCAAGAAATGCAGGATATTGTGTTGGGATCTGTAGCAATCAGGATTTTAGCTGTTTATGCCTTTCATCGTGAATAATAGTCTCGAGAAAACGAAAATATGCATTCGGTTACAGAATTTTGATGGCATATCCATCTCGAGAACTCAAAGCCTTGAGGAGGAGAAGGAGAGCAAGGACGAAGAGGAAGATGAGGAGGAAGGACGGAACGGGAGATGAGACGGATGAGGGAGCTTAAATTTTTCTTCAAATCAGAATTCCCTTCACATACATTTTCTACTAGAAGTGGAGGCGCTTAGAAAGTATTCCAAGTAGTTGTAGCATACTGCCAGCAGTAATTACCCGCTGGGAGTGCAGACCCTGGTTTTTTTCTTCTGAGATTTCCTTGGAAATAAGCTGATGGCGGATTGGGCCCCTTACCACATGCAGTACCAATTTACCGTCGTAACGAATGGTTTTAGCATACTGCCAGCGGAATCTTAAAAGGATTAGTTACTTCACTGGCCAAGTCAAACCGTGGGCTTTTTTCATGTTAGGAGCACTGCTTGTCCCTATGTCATGCCCACCAGCATTTTCGCACTTT